TCAAAGGTTTTACCGATTCTTGACCTTTACTTTTAATTATCATATGAAAATTTCCATAGTATGTTTGCTATATCGGTTAACAATTGAATTTAAATTAGGTCAGAAATTAAATTTGCAATCTTTTAACTTTTTAACTATTTGAATTTTATCACAGACAATTGAGAAGAATTATCATAAATATGGTAAAAGATGATTAGTTTGAATGATGCTTGTTTAAAATTGTTATTTGCAATTAGCAGTGCGTTAATACACGCTTATTAGATAAAACAGTTCAAAGGTTTTTGTATCCATATTTTATGTAATCTTTAACAGGTCGAGGTTTCGTTAAATTTACCCAACGTATTAACGCGCAGATGTTTAGTTTCAGCGGAAGTATTTACGCAAGAACGTGTTGAAACACAACACATGGCGGTGGTTCGCGAGTTGAGGTTTCATCCTCGTCTAGTTTCCGGTGAAACTGCATCTCGTGTAAACGCCATCTTTATGCTGTAAGTGCAGAAATGTGTTTACACGAGACCGGAAACGGACGTAAACCTTCGTAAAATGGCTGTTTCATGTTTTAAGAACTTTAACAATTTTCCACTAATTATTGTCTTTCTAATTAACAGTCAACATCTGACCAAAAATAAATAATTAAAACGTAACATTTTTTAAAACCAAAATTATGGAATAACTTAGTATGATAAATCTGGGTTTAAATTCTGGTAGATGACTGCGTTAAAGTCATCGACGTTGGCGCGAAATGCCGCAGGCTGTAACATTCTCTTCTCCGATAGATTCACCCCCTTTCCCATCCACCCTCTGTTCCAGAAGCACCCTCGCACTTCCTCGAGCCACCCCCGTCACCTGGCAGCTTCGCGTTGGGAGCCGCAAACTTCGTGCCTATGCTAATTGACTTCGCACCCCTCCTCCACTACCGCCCTCTGTTCTTCCTGGCGCCCTCTTCCACCCCTCTCGCCTGCCCTAGACACTGTAAACCATCGTGGTTTAAAGTCAATTAACGCCTTCCCCCAGACAGCTCGTTCTGACCTTTTCTCGATCAACGAACGAACGAGTTCGCGTCGAATTCCATTGTGCCGATGAAACAGAAGCGTCCTCCTTTTTGCTCGTATTTCCAGCCATCGTTTGATGAATTTATTTTCAGCACTGTATTCAACTCGTCTGATCGAGTTATTGATTTCTGTGGGAAAATCTTATAGGACACCGTATGGGACCATGAAGATGGCCAGAATTTCAATTTCTTTAATTAAATTTTAATTTTTCTAACTTTTTTAATTTTTTTCGTTAACTTTAATGGATAAAATAATATTAGAAAAAAAATAATTATCTGACAATTTGTTATAATACCGATGTTTTTACATATTGTATATTTGATGCTCAGATCTATATAGAGTGGATACTAATTTCCAAGCTTAATTAACAGCTGATGGTTCAATAATTGTGTTGAAAGTTACATTACGATAATTCTGTCACATTCATGTCATGTGGTCTAATTTAAATCGTTCTGACAAGCTCCGACAATTAGCTATCAAACTAAATCGACTGGCTTTATTTCCAGCGATCGATTTTCCATACGTTCCAACTTCACCAACTTCGCCTCTTCAACTTTGACTTCATAAATTACCTCGAAACTCGCTGAATTGGTATTCGAGAACTAAATCATGATGAAAGAGGTTCTTGCATAGATAAAAGAAAGTTTTTTATGAAATTTCTTCATAAGATCCATCATTAAAAATAGGAATATTCTTAAAAAAAAAAAAAAAAAACTTAATACACTTCGCATTGTGTAATATTCCAATATTCCGCTGTTCAACGATTGAAGGTCGATTTCAATTAATAAGAAAAGCATTATTTTTCCAAATTATCCTAAAACCTAGTACCCTGGTTACCTCAATAACCTTGCCAGCATCCAATTCGTTGTTAGCCATCGAAGCCAATAAATTCAATCGACACAATCAACAGTATTCCAAAGGGAGTCTAACAAACCGAATGAAAAGGTCGTCAGTAAAAACGTGAAACGATTTCCAAGCGTAGAGAGGTAACAAACTGGGTGAAAATTGAAATCGAACGAATTCCGTGGAAACGAAATTTACTTGAATTATCAGAGGCGCAGAATATCCATGAAAAATGAATCATTGAGAAGGCACCTCTGATACAAGATCCATCGGCAAGTGTTCTTCTTGCGAGGAGCTACCAGTAAAGCCATCGATGTGTAAGCGACACGAGAGAGTCACATTTCTCGCCAATTCAGCGAGTTACAAGGCTGACGTCACCGGCTCGACATAATTCGATTCAATTCGCTTAATTTTGCGAAAATTGCCAATCTTCTCCGGCGTTACCAAGTTCCTTCGCGTCCCTATCCTTCCACACCCTTTTCGTCCTTCCTACAATTACCCCTTTTAAAAATACTGTTCTCAGTATCCTAATATTTTTCATTTAAAAAAAAAAAAAGAAGCGTGTCTATTTTTAAAATCAGGTGTTTCATATTAGATGCAGTTATCTTACTTTGTTTCCCTTCAGCAGGTATCGGTTGGCCATAATAAAAATAAATGAATTAGAGCGGGAGAAAAATGGTTCTTGTTCAAGAGGAAGGAGATTCAATTTAGATGCTAGCCGTCTTTTTCGCGATCCCAAGGATCTTTTGTCGGTCTCCGTTACACAATGAAGCTGCACCGATCGTTTGTGCCTTCATTCAGCTCACCTTTCGAGCCTCATCGACGCCTTCAACCGTGTTCCTCTCTTTTTCTTGGGTTTCTTTAATCTTTCAAGACGAATCGGCAGCGTTGGCCGGAAAAATGACGAGCTCAAATACCAGCTTTTGCACGATCCCCTTTTCTTTTAGACGGACCGTGGCTGCGCAGGCATTTGTGCTCGCCATGGAATGTTACCATTAGTGTCACGGGGTTAAAGTGCATAATATTAAATCCTGAATATGTATTTCTTTGAAATTACTAATTATGAGATGTATAAATATTCTTAAAGTTTTTGGAAAGATTCTTAGATTTTCTTTATCGAGTAGGCTGAAACTTCATTCATTTAATTTCAAGCGAAGGAAAACTCATTTTCCGGAAGGTGAATCTGTACTTCGATAACTACTCCACTGACCTATATAATTATAATAATTAAGAGCAATTTGAATTGCGGTATTCTTACACTCCGGATATCATTAAACTGAAGTACCTAACGACAAAAATGTTAATGATTCTAGGGAACTGAATTTTAAGTTTTAAGAGTCGATATTAAGGAAGACTGTTTAAGAGTGATTTCTTTTAAGTACATAGTTTGAAAATTAGTTTAAAGTAATTTTCTTTCAAGAAGAAAGTACTTCAAGTTAGATTTCATACACTTTGAATTAGGTAATAAATTTTATAAATATACCTAATTCGATTTTTCAATTAAAAAAAAAAGATTCTCAAAACCCACCAATATTTTTAGGTTTACATACACCCTCACCTGATACCTTGCTCTAAATTGGGTCCCGAAAAATGCAACCTTCGTCATACAACACTCCACTCTAACCATTTATTGATTTGAGCCGATAATTTCACCGAAATCAACGCTGAATAAAAATCAAGCTACCAACAAGAAAGGAAGAGGATATCTGATAATCGAGCCTTTCGAATTCTAATCCCAGCTACTTTCCCGAGATTATGCTGACCCCGGTGTTTGCATCGCGTGCAACCGTCGAGACATTTAGCAATCCGAACAAATTGGATTCGCCTTCGTCTCATTCCCTTTGCTCTTGTTCTCCGGCCACGGTCTTTACCGTCCTCTTCGAATCGCCATCGACACGAGAAAGAGAGCGGATAAAAGGTAAATGAGGCGGTAACACGGGACGGAGAAAGATGAAATCTATTTACCAGTATGCCCAGCGTCGATTCAATTTCCTTGCTATCACGGTCCTGGTGCTTTTCGTTTTGAAGACTTAGAACGAGGTGGTTATAACTGAGCAGGACAAGGAGGGTGGTAAAGTTCTTCTTAGCTGGTTACGCGTACGCAGCAGATTGCCAGCCGGGCTCGTTGAAAATAATTTCAAGCGTTAAAGTGTCGCGCGGAACGCGCTCGATGTTCTTCGTAAATGCGATGTAATTTCGTCGTAACTGTTCGCGTTTTCTGCTACCGGAGCCAAGATTAAGGGAATCGCGTTCGCCGCCTTTGGTGATTGTTTAGAACGCCCAATTCTGTCACGCTCATGAGATAATGTATCGCACGGACACGCTTCTAGATCCCTGAGCTGATATTTGTACACTCGCGATCAAATCAGGTTTTCCAAGGGAAAACCATAGGCAATGAAATCTTAATTTTGACGATATTAAAATTAATTAAAAAGCAAAAAAAAAACAGAAGTTTGATTTGATTATCAGTGTACCTAAAGGGTTAATTTCAATGCATAAATATCGACTACACTTTTAACAAATTTCTCAATTTTATCACCCAGATATCTTATTAGCATTCAATTACTCAAAAATAAAATAATGTATAGCTGGTGAATAATAATTGATACGTATTTTAAAAGGAAGTTTGATTAATTCTAGTTTATTGTCAGTAACTGAACAATAATGATTTCATTTATAATTAAAGCATATTATGATTGTTATTGTTATATTACTGTTAATTGTATGCACATGCTTTGTTTGTTTCCAATCGTAAATGCAAAAATACTTGTAGATTAGCTATTATGTAACCACATTTACTGATAACACCTATATTAAGCACTGGAAGTACTGACGTCAATTCCATTGAACATGTGTGGGCAGAATGAAATGCGAATTAAAAAGAGCAAATTTTCAACCATGTAACCATAAAAGAAATACTTCTGATGTGGTGAGTCACTAAATGAAAAAAGACAATTACCAAAATTCTATCCTCAAAATTCTTATTATTAATCTTAACTGTCCTAATATAAATAAAATAGTAGTATTTCATTCTACTTTATTTCGGACTCAAATTCCGCTGTTCAAGGATTAAATTTCAAGAGAAATAATTTCTTTATTACTCACCAATTTCGTTGAACTACAAAAACGACGTTCTCCATAGTTAGTTCTTCTAAAACGATTCCCTTCAATTTTCCTCGTTCACTCGCGAGGAATCCCCCCCTCGAATCCTTCTGTTCATTTCCTCATACGTTCGACGAAGTGTAATTCTCAGGTTGTGCCAGGTATCGGGAAGCGATTTTTAATTGAAAAATTTCGAAGAATTAATGGGAAGGTTTGTGTCTAAGATCACATTGGATTAATTTTTCCTCCGCAACTCAAGAAATACCAATTTAAAGACCCCTAATCGATAAAGTAGTAATCAAGTTAATGGAAAGTTTGAATAGAAATAGAGCAAGAGTGACTCGCGGTTGAACGGTTAATTAATCGACAGGTACGCGTAACGAATCGCGTCGACTCGTCGCGAATTCTCTCGCGTGCAACAGTTGAAGCTATCGGGCAGGTCGAGGCGGGCTAATTGCGGTAATAGTTGCAGAAAAGTGGCCGGCTATGTGTGTACACAAGCGTTGGGAGCGTGTTATTACGCCGAGTAAGAAATTAGCTTTTGATCGCGGCCAACGAGCCGGAGACACGGAACCAGGTATCAGCCGGTAATTACAGAAGCTGCGAATTGGGATTGCAATTTGTCCCCTTGCTATCGGACAAATTTCTCTTGGTAATTTATGTTATGGTATACATCATTTTCATATACTTAGAAAAATTATCTATCACACCTGCAAATGATACCTTGTTACTCTTCGATTTGGTTATAAATATAATTTATAAAAATAAATAACCTTCGAATGAATCAATCATCTTTGACACAAACTTTTAAAGCAACTCGAGTTGTCTATTTATAGTTTACCGCCTTTAATCACACATATCTCGTTAATATTCGTGAATTTTGTAGGCTGGAGGGTTAGGGGGATGAGAAAAATGGGTCGAAAGGCTTGAAAACGGATATTCAGAGGTGCGAAAGAGGGGTAGAAGTTTCGTGGCAAGCCGATAATTCGCGTTTGAGCGACGCTTCGAGCGGAAGGGAAAGGATGGGCCCTGGAATGACCCTCAAACTGGTACAACTGGAACGAGAAGTTAAATATTGAACGCGTCGCTGCCACCCTCCGACTGGTCCGAATATCGATGAACCGGCTGTTGCGTTAATTTGTCAGATTTAAGACCACCATAACACTTTTCCAACATCCTCGACTAATTTGTTCTTAAATTAAACAATGATTTTCAATAAATTGTTTAGACAAACTGAAATATCTATTAATTTGAATATGCCATTAACTTACAATTAGCAAAATTTCATAATTAGAAAATTAATATTTAATATTGCTGTGATGTCCTCGACTTTTTATCATTTTTCTCACTTATGGTGAACACTTCGTTTCGCAATATCGGCTTTAAAAGCTGGCCCCATTGTGAAGCACGTAGCAACAACGTTTCGATGCCATTCGTGGACCAATCGATAGAGCGGGGAGAAAAATGCAATGTAAGAGCGAATTCTCGAGATCTATGCTTGCAATGGATCCCTATTAAGAAAAGCCTCGAACCAAATGCAGGACAGAATTTTTAGAAATTCCCCATAACGAAGGTAATTTAACTGGAGTAATGAACTCCTTCGACACGTAACAGCGTAAAGAAACGATTTCGATAAGATCAATAACTGCAATGACGACGTTGCATTAAGAAATATTACATCAGGCTTGATCGAGAAACGACTCATTCTATTGATCCATATACCTATATCCACCTATGTCTCGATATTTCAATAATTTACCATAAAAAGTGTACGCACGCAGGGCAGAAATACGGTAGAAATTTAAATTCGATTTACATAATGGCTGGAATCGTCGCCACTTGCCCCCGGGAGAAAAGTCAACAAGTTACTCGCTCGGGATAGCTGTGCGAAAAGCTATCAAGGATTCACGGTGGGAGGACGAGAAGATTGGCCGTTGTATGTGTGTGTGTGTTTCTTTTTTCATGGAAACGGCTTTGAAATTTCAACGTGTCCAGTCAACAAGTTACCCAGTCCAGGGGACAAAGGAGACCGGAAACACAGTCTATGAACCAACCTTTCGAAATGATCGTCGAACGATTAAAAAATGATTTCCAACAGAAACGTCGAGGAAAATGCACACTTCCACACGAATGGTCCGAAGCAGCTGATTGGCAGCGCGACTGACAGTTCCGGGGTCAGTCCATTCAACTGGAGCAACCCGTACCCGAACACCATAGGATCAATCAAATAACACGTCTGCACAAAGTTCGAACCGATCCCGATACCCGGCAACCATCCTATCCTTCGTTTCGTCCTGGTAGAAAAAAATCCCTGTCCTCGTGTGTATCAACCCTCCTCGAGTACACGTTTCGTCGGAACACGGACAAAGAAACGTAGCCGAGGCACGTCGAGGGTTGCGCGATACTCGTGTGACACTTGTGCGGGTGTACGAAACGTAGGTACGCGGACGACACGTACTCGTCGAGTGCTGCTGACCCAGCCAGCAGACTACTCCGGATAGCACGGAAGAGAGACCTCGGTGGGATGGCAGTTTAAATGCAACTATGCTTCCTCGGGTTTGGGTTGAGCGCGCAGGGTCCAAGTCGGCCCTGTTCGGTCGTGCTCGGCCGGGCTCGGTTCTCGTCGATATGCCCATAGACACAGTGTATATGTCTATGGATATGCCGCCGTGTCGTGCCACGCTACGCTCTCTTGCTCGTGTCCTACTCCTCGTGTAACTAGCCACTATCCTCGTCGATCTCCTTTTTCATCCATCGTTAGGTCTTTCTTTATATACCTGGTACATCTCCTTACAACGCTCCTTTCTTTTGCTCTCCTTATTCCTGCTGGCCTGTTCCTTTCTTACAACGAGCCATTCCGCTCTCTGTCGCAATTAGTATTGGTCACCGGTTAGATGTGCTGGTAATCGCGGTACAGGTATGCTACGGCGTTCGCGATCGCCGACTGCGAGGGTGTAGGTGGGTGGACGGCTATAGAAGGTACAGTGGTAGGGGAAGCAATTGGTAGTGGGGGAGAAAGAGAAAGGAGTGGGGATGAACGGAGGGGGGAGCTTGCGACAGAGACGGTCATATGGCGCCCGAGTCGGAAGGGGGATGTCTTATGTCATTTTTCTTCCCGATACTCTAACGGGTGTTCTGATCGTTAGGGGAGGACGGCGTTGACCTTAACCCACTTCGATTGGCTGGATTTTCGTGAAATTTTTATTATTTTCTTCGGTGCTGCCAGATCTGGGTGGATTTAAAAGGATGACCTCGTTCGATCTGGATTTTTCAAGGAATTTCCTGCGTTTCTTTTATTGACAGCTTTTCTTTAGTGTATTCAGTAGAGAACTGTAATTTTGGTTTATTGGACCACGGATGATATATTCGTTTTGGTTTTCTGAGATTGGAAAAACTTGATGATTTACTCTTTGAAAAATTGAGCGATTTGTTTAAGAAACATGATGTTGGTTACCTTTCTAGTTGTTTAATGTAATACTGTGTAAAATTTCAACATCGATATTTCAAATTAATTTCATAGGGCTCAAACCAATTGTTATTCAACAACCTCAGAATAAATTCCCATAAAAAGGAGTGAAATAAAATCACGTTAACAAGACATTATCCATAAATCGCGAGCCCTCGTAACGTTGCCTCTCATTACGATCATCATTAAAGCATCCAGTTCAGCGAGCATAATGCACAATATCCGCGCGGCTCGGAAACGGCGGCGATTTTGAAACGCGTTACATTATTCATAGCCGGTAATGACACACTTCGAATATCACGCATCGCGTGTACTCGCTAAAACTATCAATTGTTCTCGACTGAAATGTGACTCATTTCAGTCCCGTGCGTATACTACTCTCCCCCTTTAGTTTTTTTCCCTCCCTTTCTATTTTCTTTCTTCCTTTCGTTCATTCCCAATGCTCGAGCTCTGCTCGACGAAAGAAAGTTTCCCAGAGAGAAAAGTTATCGTGCCCGTGTTGGATTTTCAAACTTTGTCCCCTGGAGCGTTAATCGAGCTGGCCGTTTTCTGGATGGAAGTAGAAACTAGATCCTCCAGATGCATCATCCTCGGAGACTCGATTATGATAATAATATTTAATTGGCCAAGCTACACCACCGCCAATCAGGGCCAAGGATTTAAACGATCTCGATTTTCTCCGGGGCTGTTTTTCCTCAGATGGCTTCTATTTTATTGGGAATTGTTGCTCGAAAGTGAAGTGGAACAAGTGAATAAATTGAAAATTATTTTTATAATTTTATTTGTCTAAAATGTTTCATATTATTTCTCCAAATAAATCAGCTTCCCAGTTTACCTTTATTAATGTACTTAGAATAAGTAACTCGTACATCGTTCGAGTACCATTGTTCATTTCTATTGTTCGGAACACTGAGACACTTTTGACCTTTCGACGCAAGCAAAGATGCAAGAGAAACTATCAAAATTTGCTGACACGGAGCACGACTGCCTTTAGGATATTCACCAACTATAGAACTCGATAACCCAGATTTCCACGTAGCCGCATAACATTCGGGGTAAGCAATACAAGTATGCATTGCAACCCCCCTCAGTTTCACAGAGTTGGTAACTGAATCCTAATATCGTTTCCCAGAATCATAAACTTCCGGTCAAATTGGAAACAGTGCTAGTACGATTCACCGTTTCCCTTTCTGGGTTTTCTCGTTTGCGTGAATTGGAATAAATCTTTTTGATATAACTAACGCTAATTCCTTCTAAAACCTCTATTATAATAAAAGGAAAATGAAAAAAATAAAAAAGAAGGGATGAAACTCACGAAGAAATATGACAAAAGAAGAACAAAAAAGGAAGAGAAAGATAACCCATGGAATGTGACGAATATAAGGGTTGATATGCGTGTAAAGAGGGGTTGGGGGTCACGAATAACCTAGATTTTGATAGTGGTCCCCCGTGAGGTAGTCAGCGCACGCGGACACTCATTATATAACTTTATCGATCGATCGTTGCACGGGTCTTGCATGTTCTTCCGGTATGCATGTGCATACATGCCACGTACATGCATATATTTACGTGCAACGACGACGAATTGGATGCCGTTATCTTCCGACCGGCTACCGTTCGACGGCTGATAAAAGCGGCACTGGGAAAAAGTGAGCCGGGAACCGTTTTATGGGGTTTCACAGCGCTGATTTTACAGCCTTTTCGCGAACGCTTCTTACAAATCAACCGTGTAAGCGTCTATTGTGAGAAAAGACGTGAAAGCAGTTCTATCTACCTTTTTGAATCAATCTGAGAGATCTGCGGATGAATTGAAAAGAAATTGCAGAATGGTTGATATCACTGTTACAAAAATTTATTTCAAAGAATTTTTTGAAATGTAATAGTCGTTATTAATTTAAAATTAAAGAAACCTTTTTATATTACTGTTATAGGAACCTAACATAAAATTAATAATAAATAGAAATTTACTGAATGGTTTGGAATTTTAGAGAAAATAATGTTATGGAATATGAGCAACAAATGTTCAATATTAGTTAGTTGAAAATACGATAGTAGGTCGAGGTATGTTCTCTGCTATTAATGCAATTTCAGCGCGATATTGCACCTTTACTCGTACGAATATAGCAGCCTTTCAGCCTCAAAAAGATGACAGAACTTTTGCATTAGCTTAAAATTATATGCTTTCAGCATATAATATGATTCGGTGCAGAGCTTTGTTAAAAAAATTGCACCGCTTTTTTGTAAAAGATTTTACAAATGGAACAATTTATAAGACCTTTGTAATAAATGTATTAAATTTTGTAAATGAAAAATATATCATAGAAATTATGATATATTTATGTAGATTTATGGACAATAAGGTAAATCATAATCTGGTATGCTGAATGGTAACACCATTAAGACTACATTTCACCAAGCACGACAGCT